TTTTCTGCGCACCTCCAATTGCCCACAGGAGGACAAGTGCCATGGTCATGGCTTCACTCACTGTGGCAGACCTTGTGGTGAACTCCCATGCTTACCCCGAGAAGAAGCGTTCCTATACTACAGCCATCCAATGCATCGCCGGCGTGGGAATCTCCAAATCGGACCTATGTGCAACACTTCGTGAGAAAGTGGATGAGTGGCTTGACACTGAGAAGGCGGCACCAAAAAAGAAGGCTAAGGCTGAGAAGGCACCTAAGGAGAATGGCAGCAAGAAGCGAAAGCAGTAGTGATGCAGGGCTACTTTTGTGACTGCTTGGCAGCAGTTTTGGCAGGTTGGCAGGTCCTTGCCCTTAGCCCGGGTTTCAGCCCCGTACTGGCACTGGAGGTAGCCTCTCAAGGTGGATGCCAAATACAGATACCGGTGGATTCCGAATAGGTTGATTGATAGCCTAGTCTAGCATGGTCACTACTCTGAGAAAGGAGTCAGACAACCAAATGGTCTACAGGATCTTTGTGGTTGAGCCAATTGCAGTGACATGACCAAAGTCCTGAAGCAGTGACAGGGACGGGATGGGCAAGGATATCGTAGGGTTTTCCGATCTCACATCTCAGACTCATACTCATACTAGCATAGCCAGATCGCATTGGGTAAGAAAGGTTTGCCTGCAGAGGAAGTTCAGTTGCTTGGCCTTCTTGGACTGGTCGTGTGGTCTTACAGTATTGGACTGGACTGACTGGACTGATTATATTGGACCAAAGGTTTGGCTTTGGGTTGGTGGAATGAAGCTTGTTTATGATCTGGAGTGACATTGGGTTGATCAGTCCATTACTCATTACATTATATTATATATAGTTATATAACCAAATTAAACACAAGCACTTTCTAGTAGTGTACTGCCCCAAGTTCTTGGGCATTGAAAAGGACACATTGCCACATTGCTGCAAAAGTACAAAGTGGAGACAGTGGAGGTGGCAAATATTTAGAAATTATGGTTCTGGAGAAGGCCTGAAATAGGATAGAGAGGAGAATACACATGCAAACATATTTAGTATGATATAATATATATATATATATAAGACTAATTATCTAAATAGTTTTGGGTAGTTTGGACATAGTTTTTAGTAGTTTTTGAAATAGCGCTCGAATTTTTTTAGAAACAGTCCTAGATCTCCACAGTTAAAGTAGCCATGGCCACTTGCAAGCTTTAGCTGTCCTTTCCACAGAACTTGCCTGGAGGCTTAGTATCCGACCTAAACAACGCGACATGTGTTTGTTCTGAGTTTCTGAATTTACCAAATCTGCAGACATGAATGTACTGTAAACAGCAGCAAATTAGCCGGACGCGCCCGCGCGGCACAGCGGTCTAAGCGCAGCTGCTTAACCATCACCATAAGAACCCCTAAGTGTGTCCACATTGTTTGTGTCCCCTTTCATAGATATTCGAAATGAAAGATCCCTCAAGACATGACTCCCCATGCCTTGTGGGGGGGGCACCCCAAAACAGCGTCCGTTGCCTGAACCAGAGCTGGGTTTCTTGTGGGGGGTCACTGCCCCGGCTCGTCGACTGACTATGGAACCTCGGAAGTTTGGGTCCTCACTCCGAGTCTCTCGGAGGTGCGAGGCGGCGTGGAACCCAAAACATGTTCAACTCGACCGCATCACTCGCATCTGCGACGCGTGCCAGCCAGCGGATCTGGAGCTCGAGGTTACCTCCGCGGATAGGTGCTGTGGTAGATGCAAGCAGTAACTCTTGATCTGAGTTTGTCTTGAAGTGAACAATTGCTACTCAATATTCACCTCGGGCTCTTTCGACCAAGCCAACCTTTTGGGCCTTCCCATTGCTTTAGACTGGTGGTGAGAAAGTCAAGAACACGAGGCAATCAAGGTTACCCTGGAAAATCTGAGGCTAGGCTGGTGGGGGAGAAGCTGAGAAGGTCAGGAACAAGCTAACTAGGGAGTCGCCTAGGCAAGCGGCAAGCACGATGCACGATGTGCAGCAAGACAATTTGAACCAAATGAAAAAACATGAGGCAATGTAGACTCAAGATTTAGAACAACAGAACATCTATCTCGTTCCCCTGGTGACTTTTCAGGATGTTGGCGGATGCCGTGTGATCCAATTCTCGGTTTGATCTCAGCTATCGAATCTGAATTCTGAGTTGACCTGTACCATCAGCAAGCAACAACAGCAAGTGTCATCATTGTCATGTTCATGCCTGTTCATCACCCAACCAACACCCTCCTCCTCCTCCGCCTCCTCATCATCATCATCATCATCATCACGGCAGCATCATCAAAGTGTAGAGATACAGGTGCATTGCCAGACTGAACAAAACGTGTGCTACACACCTACAACTTGTATCATTATCATTGTGGTGAAGTAGGTGTATAAATACAGGTGTACATGAATGTGTGTGTACATACAGGTGCGCAATACAGCGACATTAAAACCATGTGTAAAGAACTAGGTGAACAAATGCTAGTGTATTACTATAAGGTGGTGGGGTGGCCCGGCGGAGGCTTCGGACGCGTTGAAAGGTGACCATTTGACAGCCAGTACTTGCAAAGAGAAGCAAGTTTGCGTTGTCCATAGGTGACCCTCTACAGGAATCATGTGTGTCGTGTGTGCAAACATGAACCTGTTGTTGATAATCAGGGTGACGCCTAAAGTGTAACTTACTTTGTCTGAAATCCAGAGAGAAGGGCCTGGGAGAAGGGGCGAGTGCTAGAGAACTGGCAGGTGCAGGTGTTGGACATGAAATGCAGATTTCGTGGCACTAGGGTCTACGCAATGAATGTGAGCTGCTGTCGGAAATTGAAGATTAGGATGGCAAAGTGAGAGACTGTCATCCGAAATGGACAATTGTCGTTGAAAACCGCCGCGCTGTGGTAAGCACGTAGTGCGCGGAGTTTGTAGCACAAATGAAATACGCGGAGTCACTTCTGAGAGCTCTGGGCTCAGACTGGGCTCGATCACCCGCGCATGGCCCCGTGCATTGGCTAATGGGATGCACGCATGTGTAAATGCATCGTGTTGCTGGGAGCGGACAAAAGGTGGTATCAATGAAGCTGTTGCTTCACTGTATGTGCTTTGGCATAAAGTGTGGAGGATGTCACCACACACGTCACTGCAGGAACAGGAAGAACAAGAGTTTCCAAAAAACTAACGACAGTGTGCTCCTGAAGGCAACGGCGGCGAAAGAGAAGTATCCCAGGGAACGGATGAGTTTCTTTGTCAGCGCCGGTCTGATAAGCACCCCTCATGCCCGCAGTCAGCATACTGCAACTGCGCAAAAATTAACATAAAGAGTTATCCTGCGTGCTCAGCAGGCACACATGCACAAACACACGCACACACACACACACACATCACGCCTTCGCGCATTGCATCACCACATCATTCATCATCGCATCCGCTAGACTTTATTGCCGGAATATGTTCTTTCTTGTTAAATTGTCTTACTCCTCTGGTGTTTCGGGCCGCCCCGTCGCCACTGTCGCATAGGGGTGCTCGGATCGCTCCCCTGTCAAGTGTTTCTGACTTGTTGCCAGCGCCAAAAGATGTAGCTCTACTTTGTTTCCGAAGCCCAGTGGCTGCTTTCTACAAAATGGAGCAAAGAAATCTGCCTGTCCTCATCTGTCAACGATTGATTGGAATCACCAGGCCTTGAAACTGCAACATAATACCCAAATTGCCCTTAACTCTGGGCGGCCGGGGGCTAGTCAAGCACAGCAGTGTTGAACTGACGTAGCCAGGCTTTGGCACGTCAACACTTTCCTGAACAATGTGTCTCAGACTTCAGCGTGTTCAGTTTGAGAGCTGCCCAAGACTCGATTGAGCGCTGCGCCCCGCATGACACATGACCCAGGCCCTTTGGACTTTGGACATAGATGCACTCTAGTAGCAGCAGGGTGAGGGGGGCCAAGCGACCAAAAGTATGGACAAAGAAAGAGCTTGGGTAGGCATGAGCTTTACAGCCTGGTGACATTGCGAGTGGCAAACAGGACGTACATCAAAATGCGCTTTCATTTGCCTTGTTGAAGTACATCACTTCACCAACAGTCAAAAGGTGCCACTTCACCAAGGCCTCCTGACCTGTCACTTCAATCGGGGCCGCCAACAACAACAACAACAACAACTGATCATCATGGGTCTTCTAACTCAGCATTGTGAAGGCAAAGATTGCAGGGAGGCATGACCAAACAGCATGGCACAGTGACGTCCACAGCGTAGTCTCCAACCACAGCACGCGCTTGCAAGCACATGCACAGCAACCTTCCAACGCGCCGCTGGCAATGCGTTGTGACAACAAATATTCTACGCCCTCTAAGCAAACAAACATAGCCGGCAATTGTTGTTGGTGATAGATCGTTGGTGCTCTGAGTGTTGGTGGCTTAAGGGTGAGTGATAGGGCGACAGGGGCTAGTCATCTGAGTGTCTGAATGCTAGCAATATGAACTTCAGGGATCTGACACTGTTGTTGATCGGCAGGTAGGTGACCAGGTGCACATGAGGAGGAGGAGGAGACAGGAAGAAGTGCAAAGCCATACACAGAGAAACTCTATTGCATCCTCGGCACAATTGGATCAAACTTCAACTGGCCAATCTCACCCTCAATCTTGTTATCTGTGGTGTCCCAGATTGAAGTGAAGCGTGTCGGCTGCTCCTGGCCGGTCTGTGGTCCGGTGCACAGGGGCCTGCCCCAAGGAATTTTTGGGATGCAGTGGAGCAAGCCTCATCAGAACTTCTGCCATTCTAATTTGAAGGCCGCTGCTTCGAATCTCGTGGGACCCTTTATGACCCTTTGCCTATTTCAACTCATTTCCCTCATCTCAAAGTGCCCGATAGAGGTGCCCAAAGGTTTGACGGCTGGCACCAAGACACCTGCTCTGCTTCTGGTGCCTGTGCCTGCTCCACAACTTCCTCGGAAAGCAGCAGAAGCTGTCCGCTTGGTTCAGGCCCACTGTTTAACCGCTTGAAGAAGTGCTCAACGACTTCTCAAAAGCTTCGAAACCACTGCAAACACCAAGACACCGATTGTAGCGTCTCCTCGGGAATTGTGGGACGTGTTCTGGCATGGATATCCATTCTGAACCAGTTGAAGAAGCGGTCGGTGACTTCCCAAAAGTGTCTATTCCGAGTCACTGTCTCAATCTCATGGAATCAAACACACTGTTTTGCGTCCTGCTCTGGACGGGAATGGGAAGCAGCACGTGACCCAGGCTCCTGCCAAGCAAAGTATTTCGGCGAAGGCCACTGAGAAAACCGTTTAGTCAGCAGTGTCCTTCCAGCGCAATCAAAAGCGCTCCTTTGCGTCCTGCTGGAGATCTGCAGCACGTGACTCATCATCCTGCTGCCGAAGTCTGTTGTCGAAGACCAATTCGACAACTGCTCAACGACTCGCTACAAATATTCATTAAAGTCCTGATTGAGATGAGGAGCAGAAGCGGGTGGCACATCGTCCTGCTGCACAGTCACTAGCTCAAGCTCAGCGAAATACAAGTTTGAAAGCCAACCCAGGAGGAAACATGAAGTGCAAAAGTAAGATCATTGCTTCAACTTCACTTCAACTGGACACCTCATAGGCAAAATATGTTTTGAATACGCTGCCTCTGTATCTATGCGAAAGGAGCACTCTTGGTCCGATTGGAGCCTATATATCTTATAATGTTCACGCAGCTCACTGATCCGTGTTGGGATAAGATTCGGAGCATCATTTGCCAGCCGAGACACTGAGAGTACTTTAGCAGCGGCATCGCTTCGATACTCCTTCCCTCGTTCTGATTCTGCCTTTTTGAACTTTAAGGTTGCCAGAAACTCTAGCCAACCTCCTGCGATGTACTTGTTGACCACTATGGCCAAATGCTGCGCTCTCGTAATGCCCACGTAGAGCTTCGCTCGAGTCGTCAAATCCACCTCTGCAGCCTTGCCCTGGATCTCTTCGTCCAGGGCAATGCACACAACCATCAGATGCTCATGTCCTCTGGCATTGTCGATGGTGTCGAGCAAAATAAGCTCCTCTTGTCCTTCAACGAACTTCGTGGGCACGAAACTCAACGACTCTTCAAAGGAAACAAGGTGGAAGCGTTTATGTCTGAAACGCACTTTCAGCTGCTCTTGCAGGCGGACTTTGATCTGTTCCAAGAAGTGTTGGTCTGGGACTAGCAGGGCGAGGCGACCATGAAGGCTTCTAAGGCCCGGGTACACTTTGATCAGATGTGACAATGCGTTCAGGGTGTAGTCGCAGTACATGTTCACATCATCTTCTTCACTTTTCTCAAAGATAAAGGTCTTCAGTGCAGGGCCATCAGGGCCAATGCTTGAGACCTCCTGTGTCTCGCCGATTTGAAATGCTGATGCGCCCTTCACAAGACGTCTTGTACTACGAACAATTTCTGAAAGGCTTTCTTTCCTGTATCCAGGATACTTCTCATCCAGGTTTAGCGAAGAACACTGCGACTGATCTGATAGGAGCAGCTTCTTCTTCGCATTGATCTTGTCCAAAATGTGGCCGAAACCTTCTCGAACAAGCTCATGGCACTCATCAAAGACCGCCAGCAAGAAGTCCTGAGTGTGCACCTTCTCACCCTTATTCTGAATGATCTTATTGCCCTCAATCTGCAAAGTAACCAAGTCCTCATAAGGCTTTTGAAGCAGTACTATCCTTTTCATGATTAGGTTCATCGCATCATGGATTGATAGCTCTGTGAGTGTTGAATGTCTGACAGCAAGCCATCGAACGAAGTAGAGTCCAAGTGAGATGTGGGGAGATACGAATAACATTTGACCAGAGGAATTTTCGTCGTCCAACTTCAACTCGTCCAAGGCATATTGGATCGCTACAAATGTCTTGCCACAACCAGCGGGAGCTGTCAAGTGCAAGTTCTCGCCAAGCTGCTTGAGATTCTGCAGCTTCTGCTCTTGATGATCCGTGAGCTTTGATAATGTCAATAGGCTTTTCTCATAGCGTTCTAAGAAGTCGGATTGGTCAACATGGATTTTCGCGAAGGCACTGTGCTTCTTCGACAAGGCAAGGTCCAAAGCACCGCTCAGGACTTTGTTTCTTAAAGCTTGTGCGATCTGCACTTTCTCGGTGGTCACTTGGAACATCAAGGACGGGGTGCCATCTCGAAGGTGGGATTGAACTGGAGCTTGAACCTGGATTTCTTCTGAAGACCTCTCCATCTCCTGCAAAACACTCTTCAAGGTCTCTTGCAGGCCCGCCTGCTCGGCAACCTGCTTCAATGGGTTCTCAAAGTGCCGAACGTGCTTCGAAGCAAACAGCTTGTTCGTCTTGTCGCACTTCACTATCCACTTCGGCTCCCAAACTCTGCTCAAGGTCTCAGAACTTTGAGAATCAGGCATGGTCAACACCATGGTTCCTTCTCGCCAGCTGTTGCCATCGGTGGGATCTTCAGCAAAGACCTTGCAGTTCGGAGGGAATTCCTGAAATAAGAACCGCTTCACGTCGATTTCGTCGTAGTCCCAAGTGTCTCCTTCCATCATCCGCATGGCCTCCACGTAGGCAATCTCGGCTTTTTGGCTGCCACCGCAGCCCACACCGTCCCAGAGATCTCTGAAGGACAGCTCGTCCCAAGCCACCTTGCCCTGGCCCCTCTGTCCAGGGAAAAAGACCACTTGCAGTCTTTGGCCAAGCTGCACTGCCTTTTTCACCTTCAGGGTTCAAAGCTCTGATGGTGTAAATGGAAAGCACCCGGATCATGTAGGAACACAGAAAACAGATCACCGTCTCTAGGAAGGAAGATGACAGTCTGCTAGATGAAATGGCAAAGCTGAAGGCACAGTGGCGTATAAAAGGGTACCTTGATCCAGACTTGTTGCATCTAGATCACTCTTCATCAGTTGATTGCGGCGTGGCTGGGCGCCGCAGATCTGTGATGTCGAGGGAACTTTTTTTTGCGAATTGGTAAAGAATCCGCCGGCCCTGGGGCACGGCGTGTTTTGGGTAGTTGGTTTTTTGTTAGTTCTTTGTTAAGCTATGTCTTGTCTGTTTTAGTGCTCCCCCGGGCGGATTCTTGAACCGTCTAACCTGACCCCCCCCCTCCCCCCTTCCCCCCCCCCTGAAATGTAGAGGCCTACTTGTACAGGTTCCACTCCAGTGGCCTATCTAGTGTGTCCATGCTTGACTGCCATAAGGCTCAAGAAGACAAGAGGATAAGACTCTGCGTATAAAAGACACTAGCGGTCTGCACCTCAACCGTGTACGCCCTAGTCACTCTTTCAGTGGTAGCGGAGCAGTGATCCTGGAAGACCCAGGTGAGCTCCTTTCCTAGGCATAGACTTGCTTGTAGGCAAACGGCCATGGATTGGATAGACGACTGGGAAGAGCCTGATGCGGATGTGGCTTATGAGCCAGCAGCCTATGTGAACAGGCATGTGAGAAGAGAACCAGCAGCTATAGCAATGACAACACAGGTCACTACAAAGGTGCCCCCATCTTATGATGGAAAGACTTCATGGTTTTCCTATGAGGATGCCATAGACGATTGGTGCGATATCACCGAGCTGGAAGATGAGAAGAGAGGACCAGCATTAAGGAACAGATTAGAAGGAGAAGCAGCTGTATACAAACGTGTATTAGACAGAGATGCATTGAAGGCTAATGAGCCACCAGGAGCTGGAGTAGATTACTTCAAACGAGTACTACGACCATATTTCGTGAAAGGATCAACCAATGTATTCCTGTATAGGTTTATGCAATTCGTGCGCTTCAATCGCGGATCAGCCGACATGATGAAGTGGATGACAAGATTTCAGATCTTACTCCAAAGGCTTATGAGCAGTTGGATGGACATGTTGGATCCAGTCACACAAGCACATCCTCAGGTACTAGCTCAGATGCAAGCTGATGCAGCGATGACTGGAGTAGCTCCAACAGCGGAAAGAATTCAGGAAATCATGCAGAATGTCAATGGCAATCTGAGACTTTTACATCAGAACGATTTTCCTTTGGGAGAAAATCTCATTGCCTTACTCATGCTGTCACTTGCGGATTTGTCTCAGGACCAGAGGAACACTTTGACCTCTTTGATGACTCATCGTGGTAGGGTCCTGCAGCAATACACCACAACAGAGTTGAGGACAGTTTTCATTGAGATGTTCTGCGCAACAAAGACTTCAGTAGACAATCCTCTGATGCAGCCAACAGGTGCTGGAGGTAGAAGATCATTCCTCGTGTTAGACGAAGGAGAACTCGATGGTACATTTGGCTATTGGGCCGAAGATGAAGAAGATGGAACAGAAGGATTCCTTGATGCCCTGGACGATGTCTTTTGGGTATATGATGAACAGAATTTCTCTTGGTTCCAAAGGAGATTCCAAGGAAGAAGAGCCAGAAAAGGCAAAGGTAAAGGAAGAAGAAAAGGAAAAGGCAAAGGAAGATCAGGCCGCAGATTTTTCAGACCTCGTGGAAAAGGAAAAGGAGGAAAGAGACGAGGTAAAGGCCATTATGCTGATGAGCAACCGCCAACTTATCCAGACGAATATTTTGAAGAGAATCCTTATGAGGACACTTGGGAGTCAAACCAAGTAGCATATGACATTCTTGCTGAAGATATGAATGACTATCTTCAAGGAGAACATGAAGATGCCAATGACTTTTGGCAACAGCTTGAAGAAGCATGGTTTTCCCACAAAGGAAAAGGAAAAGGTAAGAGAAAAGGCAAGAAAGGAAAAGGAAAAGATAAAGGAGATGGAAAACAAGATTCAAACTATGCAAATCAACAACAGCCACGTTCTTTGCCTGCACCTTCAAGATCTTCACAAGCATCAGGAAGCAACCAAGGTTTCTTTGCACATTGTGTGACAACAGCAGCTGAAGTCAATGACAATGAGGTGAACTTGCTGTCAGGCATGATGACCTCATGTCAAGATGAAGCTGACTGTAAGGTCAACAATGGTGAGATGATCTTCGATGACATGAGTGCCCCTGTGAGGTACTCTTTGTCAAAGGAGATGCTCACAAGTGCTCCTGATGGCTTTGCGCTTATGAGCGCTGAAGAAGAAGTGAAAGAGATGCAGGCTATTTCATTTTTGACTGAGAATCGCTTCCCGCCAACTATTGCAATCCTGGACATTGGATGCACTAGAGCTATGGGATCAAGGCGTGCAGTCGATTATTTTTGTAACTATGTCGACAATCACCCAAATTGTGGACTATGGTACTCTTTTGAGGCTACCAAGAGCAAGTTCTACTTTGCCAATTCCCAGAAGGCTTCTTGCTCTCAGAAACTGGTGATTTACATGTATGATCGTGCATGGACGATCCACAACACAGAGTTCGACATAGTAGAAGAAGGAGAAGTCCCTTTGCTTATGAGCTTACCGCAGATGAGAAACTTAGGCTTTGAACTCAGGCTGACACCTCAACACGCTTATCTGACATCGGTGCCTCTTGGTATCAAATTTTTGGAGTTGAAGGTTGCAGCCAGTACTCATCTTGTTTTGGACTTCCAAGATATTGCATGGCATCTGTCTGACGTGCGTTTGCAGGCTCGGCGTGAGAAGAGTTTTTACTCTCACTTCACTCACTATGAATATGGCCATATTTCTGTTGATCACAATAGTGATGAAGATGAAGCTGAGCATGCATATCCTGTGGTTGACTACTGGGAAGTAGATATTCACAAGAGAGAACTGATACGTCACCACAAGGATTACAGGAAGATTCTTTTCCCAGCAACTAAGTCCTGTCCTGTAGACACTGACTTGCTGGAAGACTTGCGATTGACAATCATCAAGAAGAAAGAAGGAGGAGAAGAAATCAAGAAGCTAGATGATTGGCGCAAGGCAAAATGGAAGGACCTACAAATTGGCTATGAATGGCGTGGTAGAACAATTTTTAAGTTCAAACCAGATGCCAAAATTCCAGATCTAAAGATCAGGAAGGCTGGCATTGAGCACCGTGGCATTGGTGATCCCGATGCAGTGGTGCGCTCCTCCTCAGAGAAGGTTCCCATTGCAAAGGACAGGGAACCAGGCTTCTCCTCAGAGAAGGAAGGTGCACCATCCAGTGCCGCGGAAAAGCCCGTGCCGCCAAAGTTTCGGTATACTTCCAAGGGTTTTGATCCATTTTGGAAGGGTCACAAGTCGAAACCATCTGAGCCTCCAAATGATTTAAAGGGTGATGATCTTGAGGAGTATGCTCCCTCAGAACCACCTGAGAGGCCAGAAGGTGAACTTGTAGAAATTCCTAAAGCATCAAAAGGACCATCAAGTGATAAACATGAACCACTTGAACCAGGTGATGGCGCTCTTGAGCCTAGGCGGATTTCAATCCCATTACCTGGTAGTGAAGTTGTTGCAATGACACCGGCATGTAGGAAGATGTTGCAGAGACTGGAGGACAAGGTAGAACTTTACAAGCTTCATGTGAAGCACTACCATATGAGTCCTACTCAGTTTCGTAGACGTGTTTCTATGTTGAAGCTTCCTGACTCTGTTCTAGAGAAGTATGAATCAGTTGTCAGGAACTGCCGTGTTTGTAACACTTCAGTGGCACCTCCGCCACGAGCCAGAGTCTCCGGTATTAGAGCTTCATGTTTTGGTGATGTTGTTTTTGCTGATCATTGTGAGGTTGAACTTCACAAGAACAAGTATATCATTTTACTTGTTCTTGATGGTGCCACAAATCTTCTCTGGGCTACGGCACAGAAAGACCTCATAGATCAAACCACCATCCAAGCATTGAGGCAATGGTCTGATGAGAACAACTGTGTTCCGAAGGCCATCGTAGGAGACGAAGCCTTTTTCGCAGATGCTTTTGTTGAATACTACAGGTTCCATGGTATACAACAATGTCCTTGTGGACCAAGAACTCCTTGGCCGAACCGAGCAGAGACAGCTGTACGTTTGTTCAAACGTATGTGGCATGTTATGAAGGTAGATCTGGATGACCCACGTTTTCGTGGTGTTACGGTCAGAGAAGTGGTCAAGAAGGTAGTTTGGGCAAGGAATTGTCAGTTGACTATCAGTGGATACTCACCAATAGAGATAGCAACTGGAAGACGTCCACCAGATCTTTTTGACCTTGAGACCGCAAGCCCTGAGCAATTGTCAGCCAATGCAGCCGCGCAAGATCGTACAAATCTGGAACTACAACGTGTGGCTTTGAGAGCTCATCAAGAAGCACGACAAGCTCAGGACCTTCGAGCAGATCTTGCGAGAAGGACGATGCCAAGTGACGGTGCTTATTTCCAAGGAGAGAAGGTTTTTATTTGGACTCAGGATTCATCAAAGTTCAAGGACAAAGGACGTTGGGTTCGTGCCACAATACTTGGACAAGAAGGAGCTATGGTCCAAGCCAACACTGGCAAGGCAGTGGTACGTGTGAATCAGTCGAAGGTTAGACGTGATCACGATGAGTGGCATGATGTTTCCATACCGGCATTAGACGATGAGAATCCGGAGAACTTACGTGAAGATCACGAACTGTATGTTGATGCCGAATTTGGAGAACAGTCCTTTTTCTTTTGTAATGATGATCATCCTGATGTTGTTGAGTTACTTCATGGAAACAGTGGATTGTCTTGGTTCCTTTCAAAGAATGGTGTTAGAGTTGCATCGCCTATGGATTTCAAGGCAGGATACAACTTTTCCACTCTGAAGGGTCAAGATGGTATTTGGCAGCAACTTGAGAGTTTGCAGCCCCACTGTATAGTGATCAACAACCCTTCTCCCAAACAGAACAGAGCTTCTATTTGGTTGCTATGTTGTAATGTGATCGAGTGGCAGTTGAGAAGGAAGAAACATGTGTTTGTGACTGTTCCCAAAGGAAACAAGTTTTGTTTGTTTTTGCAGAAGTTCATTTTGTCTTTGAAGAATC